TTGGCAAATATTCATCAATTTTACAACTATACGCGCTTAATGACGGGCAATATGAACTCGAATAAGACCTACTGATAGCCTCAAAACCTACTAATTATGAACATCAACAGAAGCTCGAGTATATTTACCGATCCTGACACGAGGAAGTCATGTTTATTCTGGGCAGGGTAGCTGATAGAGACGTCTTGTCATGTATGTTCACTCTGTAAAGAGCAGGATACGCCGATAATTTTATCTCTCCCGTCACCTGTTACCCTGTCTACCTGACTTTGACCTACCAAACTGTCGAGTTGGCCGGTCTCCTCGTGCAGGCCCGACGAGCTCGGCCCGTTGGCGGTGCCACCCGCCGGTCCGGGCGACGGAGCAGATGTCGTGGATCGGTTGGGAGTCGGTGCCGGTCGGAAGGGTCCGCCCCGATGCCATTCACGTGTCGGTTGTTCGTGAGCGTGTTTGCATTTGATGAAGAGGCTAGTCAGAATCAGTGTCATACGAGCCACGTCAATGATGCCCGACGGGCCGGACACCGGCGAGCTCGTATCCCCTTCGCAACGTGAATGGCCCTCCGCCGGGCCCGGCAGAGCCTCTTTGATCAGCTGCAGCGGAATCAAGTCGACTATGCGCAAATTGGGCAAAAAGGTCGACCAAAATTAGAAGGTATATTGTAAGTGGGAAAGACTAAAGAGAAGCACCACACATCCCAGTCCACCGCTTCAGGCGCCTGGTATGCTTGAGTTGAGCTAGAGTGAAAAACATTTCCCAAAGTCCTCTGAACTCGGAGAAATATCACAAATCAAACACCTCATAGTGCATTGTCTAATTGTGTAATTGCCCTGTCTAATTGTATGGGGCATATATACATATATTTATTTATTTGTGTGCAGATAGATAGGCGGGACGAGTAAATATTCATACTAGTCTATAAGCGAAAGAAATGAGGGTTTGCGGCATTTATTGAAAAAAAATCCAGTAAATTTTACACTTTAATGCACATCCGACTTAACTTATGTCGAAATCCTATGCCGAAGGATATATTTATCAGAAGGTAGTTGTCGGAGTAACTTTGCCATTAAATCAAATAAGTTGCATCTAGCTCCGTTTACATGTATCAGGGCAGTCTGAATTTGAGAATAGTGGCCTGATTTAAGGCTGAAAAATTGAGCCTATCGAAGTCTAAGCATCTACAAGCCTTGGGGCCTGGGTTAAGAATCGAGGGGGGCTGAAAGCAATAAAAATCATGGTTTTCCGCCTCATCCCGTGGATTATTCTACCAGAATTGATGATTCTTTGAGTAATGCTTATTGAAGTCTCGCTCACCCATAGTCACTCAGTCACTCGGCTGAGGAAAGAGCTGAATAGATAAATTTGTGAGTTAAAGAGATTGAGCCGACTAGAGCTAATGTTTTTTAGTTTGCTACATAATTATGAGTTTCCTTGAATGAGGGAGCCAGTTTCTGCCAATTCACCAATCCTGTATTCACATTAAGTAGGATTTCGAGACTATCAGTAAATCTTGACTAAGAGCTTCCGTCGCCATAGATGATGAAGAATCAATGATTAATTTGTCCATAATGGCATGAATAGGCCTCATGATGCCATTGAATTGCACTTAAT